TTGCTTCTTGTAATTGATGTTCTGCCTCTTCTAATTTAGCGACATTTTGTTTCAACTCCTTTCGCAGTCCAGTAATCTCTGCTTGCTTCACGCATACGTCCTTTTCGTATTTAATTTTTAGTTCGCACATCGAGGACTGCAAACTCTCGTTACAGTCTTGTTCGATGCTCAATTTTTTCTCCAGTTCTGCGTATTTCATGATCTTATCCGCCAAAGCGTTTTGTACACAAATAAATTCTTGATCTTTTAATTTAAGTTCTGATTTCAATAGTCGTTGGGTGTCATGGGACTTCTTTGTCGCATACGAAAGTTGCTTTTGCAGGTTTGTAATTTCGTCCAAGTGGATCGTCTCAATGTTTTCTAGCTCCTCCTTCGACCTAGCCACCTGCGTGTCTAACTTATACTGTAAACAGTGGATTTCTTCTTGGTGCCCCGCCGAGTGCTTATCGAACATACATTGATAGTCGTCAAGCTCTTGAATTAGCTTACTGTTTTTATTTTCCAGCTCGTGGAACAGCTCATCCTGTTTTATTTTAACTGCATCCAGCATGTCAAACCCCGCATACATCTTATTAGCCAATTTAGCGTTCTCGTCTTCACGGGCATCTATTGTTGTTTCTAGTTCTTGTATATACGTGGCCATCTTTTCTATTTTGCATATTAATTGTTCAGTTTCGATATCCATTATTTATTACAATTTCTAAATCACTATAATATAAAAAATTTAAATATATTGTTATGTTTTTTTTTTTTTAAGATTGTATTTACCACATTCGCGTTGCTTGTTTATAAACATCAATACGTATCCTAGTTAAAATATATTTACGATCTATCATATTATTTGAGTGCTCATAATAATATTAGAATTTAAAATATTTCACTGGCCAAAATAAATAAATAAATAATGCTTAATCAACTTTAAGAGTTTTAACTAATGCATTTTAAAGGATCAGCAAGTTATACAAATCCATAAAATGAGCAACCTATGATTTTCTACTAAAAAGGCAAAAAACATACTAAAAAAATAAGGGCCTGTTTACTCCTACACACACACATATAAACACGTGAGAATCTAAACATTTAATCTCGCATAAATGTATAATTTATTGAATCGGTCGTCAACTACTACAACAACTGCAGTCTACAATTAAACGCACTAGCATACTATTCTACTGATATTATCTATTGTTTCAGAACCATTCGATAAAATATTAATTTATGATCCCTGGTATTGTGTTTATATAGATGCTCGAAAACGAGCGTCCACCGGATTATTTATTATCGAGGCAACAGTCGTTCCGAACACATTTACCTCCACCTCCTCCTTCATAACGCCGGTCCCGCCAACTGCGCATTGACTTATATATTTTTATATGGGTATTTTCCTTTCCCGACGAGTTTACCGTAACATTGAATATAGTGGTTCGTTGCCTCAATAACTTGAAAAATCGTATCGATATGAGCACGTCTTGCAGGGACGGAGAGAAATTTATCGGGAATTATTTTTTCGTCCTCTTCGGTTTTGTCGATAAGATGATAATAACAATTGTAATTTATTTTTTAATTATTATAATTATTATTACTATCATTATTATGTGATACTATGGTGTGACTACGGCTGTCGTTTTAAGGTGTCTGGACGATTGTTAAACGATATTACATAATATTATGACATCGAAATCTGTGCATATATATAACACCATGATCGGCTTATTCTAATTTTCACTCGATTATCTCGAGTTATGTATAAAATCAAAACCGATCAAAAGCTTTCGTATATCGCGCATCTTGTTGGAGTTTTTCCCGAAGTAGGTACTTAATATCCGTTTAACCCATATTCATCCGAATGATAACTGTTATGAGCACCCAAACGTTTGTTTGAATTTAGTATGTATTTCTATTTCCAAAAACCCGAATTCATCGAGTTCCAGAAACCCGAAGCAATTAATATTTGAGTGAAAATCCCTGTTTGTAATAGATGTTTAATATAATCACTAATCATGATAAAATTTTTCTACAATCCTGTACCTACTCTGGTTTACTTTAAATGACTGTGGCGAGTATAGTAATTGTTGTGGGTCACGTAGTTTTTTGATGTTTCTAATGCTGAGTGTAAAAATATGGTCTCAAAAAAACTTATAACTAATAGCAATTTATAACGCCCAACAGCAATTATTACTGTGTAGTTGTGATTTAGAAACACCAACCGTAACGAAATTGAACACAGTCAGCTGGCTTTTACAACATCCGATTTTAGTGGGCATCAATTTTTATATAGACAACTATAATTGTTTACCATTATTTAGAAATCTACGTTATAACACAGAACTATATGACATCAAACGATGTTTGCGAATTTGTGTGTAATAATTAAAATCATTAATACGTTGACCGCCACAGGTTTTTTTTGTCGTGTGACTCATAACCGTCATGAGATTTTATTTGAGATCTCAAAAAATTACTAGTACTGAATATTGAGACTCCGTTTGAGATTGAGATCTCACTGAAATCAATTTTTAGTGAGAAGTCCTACGGAGTCTCAATATTCAGTACTTTTTCGTCGGATTTGAAAAGTACAGTATTGCCACTTTCAGATGGTGTAACAAGCTTGCTTTAAATCGTCAAAACTGTTGCGAAGTAAACCTATGAAAAAACCCCGTGGCGGCAGTTATAAGTTACCTATGTAGGTACTTGTCCAAAACTCGACTACCGGGATTAAAATAAAAAAATGTGATTTAGGTAATATATTGGCTATTGATCTATTATAAAATAGAAACTTACCCTACCAATAATATCACTATATAAAATAATTAAAAGTGATAATTTGAAGACAATTTCTTAAAACCCCTAAAATATTTTTTTAATTTAGTGTAATCCATATAGTTTAGGGCCCACTCAAATTTTTAATTTTTTTTTTCGGAAACCTATGTGTTATAATATTTATGATAACTTTGATTCAAAAAAGGTGGGTAAGTGGATGTCGCTCTGCTGTACAGTAGGTTACAAGTGGGTCACTGTATAATTGATGCTATTAAATTTGAATTCATTGATACAATATCATTGTATAAGAAAAACGATTCTGAGCGAAGACGGTATGTCAGTCTAGGTTAAGACAAATTATATACATATCTATGGTATTAAAAAAAAATTGACCTATAATAAATTCCAAATTAATCATATCACATTATCACAATATCCATTAGGTACCTATAACACGTTATACACCAACAACAAACCCTGATACTATCATATATATATATAATAGTACACTTTAGAAGTTTCAAGTAGGTACCCACGAATAATATTATATAATCACAACAAAATAACTAGGTTTTTTAATATGTAATTTCGTCCAAATTTGAACATAAAATGACTATAAAAATAAACTGTGATTGTATATTTTTTAGATTTTTCGGTAAGAAAATTAACTACTTACGTGGAATCTTGTTTTAAATTTTCAATCCTTAGCTATAAAAACTGAACATTTTATAATTTATTAATTACGATGATTAATAATTTTCGAGATTTTGAAAAATTCTGTCAAAATTCGATGTTAAAATGCTTATAAAAAAAATTTTGCCTATGTATTTTTAATATTTTTCAACTGATATTGTAACAATATATCAGGAGCCTTGTATTAAATTTTTACACTTTTTGGCCCAACAGATAAAATTTAATTGATATTTATAGAAAAAAAAAACTAAAAAAATTGAAAAATGAAAATGTCCGTAAACGGCTCAAAAAGAGTTAAAATATTTTCAAAATTGTATGGTGTATAGGAAATGCTAATATAAACATTCAGTGAAATTTTCATGTATCTACAGTAATTCGTTTTTTAATTACAACAAAAAAAGAAAATTGCCACATGAGAAATCGAGTGAATATCCAATGTTGTAAAAATTTGAATTTCAAACGCTCATAAAAATTTAATTTGACTTTCCGGTAGAGATTTTTTTATTGATAAAGGTAGACAATCTTATGAGTAATCTTGTATTAGATTTTCAAATCTTAGATTTAAAAAGAAAAATTTTTACGAATTCTTAACTCAAAATAATTTGCTAATTTTCGTGATTTTTCCATATTTTGTCAATTTTTGAACTTTAAATGCTTATAAAAAAAAATTGTGACTAAGGATTTTTAATATTTTTCATCTGCCTTTGAAACAATATATTAGGATCCTTCTATTAAATTTTCAAGCTTTCGCAACCAACAAATAAAATTTTATTGATATTTCTAGAAAAAAAACTAAAAAAAAACTAAAAATGAAAATGTCCCTAAACTGTTCAAAATAAATCAAAATATTTTGAATATTGTTATCGTGTATAGAAGATGCAAATATAAACAACCAGTGAAAATTGCATGTACCTACGGTCATTTGTTTTAAAGTTACACCAAAAACCAAATTCAATTTTCTGAATAATCGATTTTGCGTAAAAATTCCAGTTTTTCCTTAATTTTTCTTTTGTTTTTCCCGGCGCTCTTGAAAACTACTGGGAAATTTAAATTTTGACCTCCCCAATGCACCAACGATATTCACTTTCCAATCGAACAAGATACTGAAGTCGAAAATCGAAGCATTATTTCGACTACTTATCGTGTACACAGACACAAAAAAAATAAATAAAAAAATAAAAATTAAAAAATTAAAAAAAAACACACATCATTGTAAAATAAATACATTCATCGTTTCACTCAGAATCTAAAAATAATATCAACTAAATATTTTTTATTTTGTTTATTTTTTGAATTTATGTAGGTAAGTATAGTGAAATTTAATTTACAATTTTACTTATTTTTTGGTACGATTATACAATTATTTTCATATTTAATTTTGTGTGTGTTTTAATACAATTAAATCCAGTTCTGATGAAATAGTTCAGCGAACGACCGAGTTTGAAAAGACAATCTAAGAAACCTGTGAAGCATTATGCATAGATAAAAATAAATTGGAGGAGAAAAATAGTAAACTTAAGGCTAGTAGTCAGTCGTTAATCTCAAGCATGGAGTGTACTAATACGAAACTTTGCGAATCACTAACGGAAAACAAAACACTGAAATGTCAGCTCGAAGATCAACACGAATCGATAAAACTATTGGAGTCAATGAAAAATAGACTACAACAGGAAATAAAAAACATCAAGGAGAACGAGGAGATGTCGGCAAAAATTTTGGTAACAGAGCGTGAACAGCATGAACGGGAGCAGACGATTTCTGAAAAGAAATTAGAGTTCAAAGCTCAGGATGAGCGTGAACTCAAGGAATTAAGTAAAAAAAACTATCGGAACGAATTAAATGTCTGAAAAAATGATACACGACGATGATATATAGAGCAATAGATAAAAATAAATAAGAATATAAAAATGTTCATATTTTGGACATATCATCGTCGTGTATCACTTTTTTCAAACATTTAATTCGTTCCGATAGTTTTTTACTTAATTCCTTGAGTTCACGCTCATCCTGAGCTTTGAACTCTAATTTCTTTTCAGAAATCGTCTGCTCCCGTTCATGCTGTTCACGCTCTGTTACCAAAATTTTTGCCGACATCTCCTCGTTCTCCTTGATGTTTTCTATTTTCTGTTGTAGTCTATTTTTCATTAACTCCAAAAGTTTTATCGATTCGTGTTGATCTGCGAGCTGACATTTCAGTGTTTTGTTTTCCGTTAGTGATTCGCAAAGTTTCGTATTAGTACACTCCATGCTTGAGATTAACGACTGATTACTAGCCTTAAGTTTACTATTTTTCTCCTCCAATTTATTTTTCTCTTTGCATAAAGCTTCACGGGTTTCTTGGATTGTCTTTTCAAACTCGGTCGTTCGCTGAACTATTTCATCTCTTGCTTCTTGTAATTGATGTTCTGCCTCTTCTAATTTAGCGACATTTTGTTTCAACTCCTTTCGCAGTCCAGTAATCTCTGCTTGCTTCACGCATACGTCCTTTTCGTATTTAATTTTTAGTTCGCACATCGAGGACTGCAAACTCTCGTTACAGTCTTGTTCGATGCTCAATTTTTTCTCCAGTTCTGCGTATTTCATGATCTTATCCGCCAAAGCGTTTTGTACACAAATAAATTCTTGATCTTTTAATTTAAGTTCTGATTTCAATAGTCGTTGGGTGTCATGGGACTTCTTTGTCGCATACGAAAGTTGCTTTTGCAGGTTTGTAATTTCGTCCAAGTGGATCGTCTCAATGTTTTCTAGCTCCTCCTTCGACCTAGCCACCTGCGTGTCTAACTTATACTGTAAACAGTGGATTTCTTCTTGGTGCCCCGCCGAGTGCTTATCGAACATACATTGATAGTCGTCAAGCTCTTGAATTAGCTTACTGTTTTTATTTTCCAGCTCGTGGAACAGCTCATCCTGTTTTATTTTAACTGCATCCAGCATGTCAAACCCCGCATACATCTTATTAGCCAATTTAGCGTTCTCGTCTTCACGGGCATCTATTGTTGTTTCTAGTTCTTGTATATACGTGGCCATCTTTTCTATTTTGCATATTAATTGTTCAGTTTCGATATCCATTATTTATTACAATTTCTAAATCACTATAATATAAAAAATTTAAATATATTGTTATGTTTTTTTTTTTTTAAGATTGTATTTACCACATTCGCGTTGCTTGTTTATAAACATCAATACGTATCCTAGTTAAAATATATTTACGATCTATCATATTATTTGAGTGCTCATAATAATATTAGAATTTAAAATATTTCACTGGCCAAAATAAATAAATAAATAATGCTTAATCAACTTTAAGAGTTTTAACTAATGCATTTTAAAGGATCAGCAAGTTATACAAATCCATAAAATGAGCAACCTATGATTTTCTACTAAAAAGGCAAAAAACATATTAAAAAAATAAGGGCCTGTTTACTCCTACACACACACATATAAACACGTGAGAATCTAAACATTTAATCTCGCATAAATGTATAATTTATTGAATCGGTCGTCAACTACTACAACAACTGCAGTCTACAATTAAACGCACTAGCATACTATTCTACTGATATTATCTATTGTTTCAGAACCATTCGATAAAATATTAATTTATGATCCCTGGTATTGTGTTTATATAGATGCTCGAAAACGAGCGTCCACCGGATTATTTATTATCGAGGCAACAGTCGTTCCGAACACATTTACCTCCACCTCCTCCTTCATAACGCCGGTCCCGCCAACTGCGCATTGACTTATATATTTTTATATGGGTATTTTCCTTTCCCGACGAGTTTACCGTAACATTGAATATAGTGGTTCGTTGCCTCAATAACTTGAAAAATCGTATCGATATGAGCACGTCTTGCAGGGACGGAGAGAAATTTATCGGGAATTATTTTTTCGTCCTCTTCGGTTTTGTCGATAAGATGATAATAACAATTGTAATTTATTTTTTAATTATTATAATTATTATTACTATCATTATTATGTGATACTATGGTGTGACTACGGCTGTCGTTTTAAGGTGTCTGGACGATTGTTAAACGATATTACATAATATTATGACATCGAAATCTGTGCATATATATAACACCATGATCGGCTTATTCTAATTTTCACTCGATTATCTCGAGTTATGTATAAAATCAAAACCGATCAAAAGCTTTCGTATATCGCGCATCTTGTTGGAGTTTTTCCCGAAGTAGGTACTTAATATCCGTTTAACCCATATTCATCCGAATGATAACTGTTATGAGCACCCAAACGTTTGTTTGAATTTAGTATGTATTTCTATTTCCAAAAACCCGAATTCATCGAGTTCCAGAAACCCGAAGCAATTAATATTTGAGTGAAAATCCCTGTTTGTAATAGATGTTTAATATAATCACTAATCATGATAAAATTTTTCTACAATCCTGTACCTACTCTGGTTTACTTTAAATGACTGTGGCGAGTATAGTAATTGTTGTGGGTCACGTAGTTTTTTGATGTTTCTAATGCTGAGTGTAAAAATATGGTCTCAAAAAAACTTATAACTAATAGCAATTTATAACGCCCAACAGCAATTATTACTGTGTAGTTGTGATTTAGAAACACCAACCGTAACGAAATTGAACACAGTCAGCTGGCTTTTACAACATCCGATTTTAGTGGGCATCAATTTTTATATAGACAACTATAATTGTTTACCATTATTTAGAAATCTACGTTATAACACAGAACTATATGACATCAAACGATGTTTGCGAATTTGTGTGTAATAATTAAAATCATTAATACGTTGACCGCCACAGGTTTTTTTTGTCGTGTGACTCATAACCGTCATGAGATTTTATTTGAGATCTCAAAAAATTACTAGTACTGAATATTGAGACTCCGTTTGAGATTGAGATCTCACTGAAATCAATTTTTAGTGAGAAGTCCTACGGAGTCTCAATATTCAGTACTTTTTCGTCGGATTTGAAAAGTACAGTATTGCCACTTTCAGATGGTGTAACAAGCTTGCTTTAAATCGTCAAAACTGTTGCGAAGTAAACCTATGAAAAAACCCCGTGGCGGCAGTTATAAGTTACCTATGTAGGTACTTGTCCAAAACTCGACTACCGGGATTAAAATAAAAAAATGTGATTTAGGTAATATATTGGCTATTGATCTATTATAAAATAGAAACTTACCCTACCAATAATATCACTATATAAAATAATTAAAAGTGATAATTTGAAGACAATTTCTTAAAACCCCTAAAATATTTTTTTAATTTAGTGTAATCCATATAGTTTAGGGCCCACTCAAATTTTTAATTTTTTTTTCGGAAACCTATGTGTTATAATATTTATGATGCAAAAATTTATTCACGGAAATCATTAGTTGTATCGCATAGCCTTGCGGAAGTTCACGATTTTCGGTGTTTTACGCACTCGTAAAGTACTTGTAAGTAGGTACAACACTTGTAAGTACAACAAATTAAATTTTTTTTAACCTAGTTAAATCAACGTTTAAAGAGTTATCGTGCAAAATTAATTCTTACACCCACCCATGGTGGTTTTACATAACAAGTCGAGGAATGTTTTTGATTATAATTGTCCGAGCAAGCGCAGCCGGGCAGCATACGCCGGGTATATATAAAAATACCAACAATTTTCATTAGCTGTAACTTTAAAATAAGTTTGACCACCAAATTCAGATTTCCCTATCATGTTCAATTAAAAACTAATGATTTCCGGCAATTAATTTTTGCAATATCGTTCTTAATTCGTTGTAACTTGTAATATCACGACGGACATTTTCCGACGATTTGATTCAGTGGTTCTAACTTGTATCTTTTTAGGCGTAGATGACGTTACCACTGGAGGCAAAAAGAGTGTTTCAATTTACCGTTTTTCGTGGTAATTCACGTTGGTCGGAAACAAAAAAATAAATCATATCATATATTTGCACAGTCGCGTACCATAAATATACACTTGAATTAATGTTTATTACAGTGTATTAAGTTACTTATTTTTCTATTGAGTTATCCAACGGTAATTAGTTTATAGTTTAATATCATCTAGCTATAACCAATTATTATATCAGATTTTTATCATGTAAATTGTGAAGAATTATAAGTATGAACTATGATTACCTAATAATCATAGTTCATGATCATAACTCATACAAGCAGCGAGCGTTTGGTGCACGTGTACCTAACGTTGTTCAATAATACATAGACATCTTGAAAATTTGGAATGTTACAGCTGATTGAATTCTACGTTTATTCAGTATCTGTGGCTCATATTTGACTTATTATCAAGTTGGATATTATATATATTCACCTTGCTTATTATATGTATAAATCTATGTTAACAATTCATAATTTATTTCCTTCTCTATATATACTAAAATATGCGAAAATTAAATTTCTAACAGTTATATAGAATCCTGTATTTTTGAGTTTATACAGATACATAATTGCTATCATGCAAGAAGCACTAAAATTTGATTTCACAAGTAAGACCTTTTTTTAATATTTTTATAGTAGGTACGTATTTTTCCATTTCACATAAAATGTGAATAAAATGTGTAGTGTTGAGATATTTATACATATATTAAGCCTATATAAGTATATATAACTATAGGTTTATACTTTATACCCCGGTGTACAGTGTTGAGCAGTATCTAGATAAATGTATCTAGATAAAACTACAGCATCTTTATCTCATCTAGATAAATAAAATATTAGGTATCTGATTGTCATCTAAGATAAACTGTATACCTATCTAGATAAATATACCTAGATAAATAAATAATTTTTAGTTTCGATTGATTTGTTGGTAGTTTGGTACTTTTAATTTTTTTATTTTATCTTGTCATTGATCAA